TGAAAATTGTGCCAAATGCAGAGAATTGTGTGTAGTGTTTTGAAAAAAATGTGTTTTAGAACTGCAATTTGAGTGTAAAGCAGGAATTGTGCTTGTAGTTTAGCAGAATTGGTTCAGGGGGTTGGTGCATGAGTTACATGTTGTGGTCATTGTGTCTCAAGTACCAGTATTTGTGTGTAAACAATTGAGAAAAACTGTAAACGTCCTCATTCGTGGACAATTTTATGTGCCATCTAGTAAGAGCACAATGCACTAATCCATGTAAAAACAAGATGGCAGGCATCTCTGCTTAGTCAGCCTGGCTACAAATTTTAGTAACTAACACTAAAACACTATTAATTAGGAAGTACTTGTTTGACGACTTTAGGACTTTATTGTCATCTCACTTGAGGACATTGGGACTTAATTATTGTTGACAATGTTTAGTTTTTTATACTTAACAGGCACTACTGATCCCAAATAACTAGAAGAGAGGAGTTCAGGTCTCAGGAGGATAAAGGTACAGTGAAGGGCTCAATTATGGGGTCACCAAAATGAACCCAATCTGTACTGTAGGCTTACTATTTAAGTAGCATTTGTGTTTTTCAAACTATGGTTCTTAAATTGTATTTTCCCTTCATTTATTGTATTTCGTTAAGGTGGGAAAAAAGCTAAATATGTCAGGAAAATACCAGAAGATGGCAGCAGTGCACTCTGAGCCTGCACAACTGCCTCCACTGAAAACTAAGCAGTAGATTAATAAGTGACAGCAAGTTTATTTTTCCCTAAGTACTGGGTTACAGGCAGCATTACTTACAGTCTGCGTATCCCTCCATCTGACATTGTAGATATTAATGTTTACTGTAAGAGCTGTGACATGGTTCAGGGGCCACGGTCTGTAAATCCTGGCAATTAAATTTGGATTTGTGTTCAGTGTTAGGACAAGTACTGTCTGGGACATGAATCTCAGGGCAAATGCAATAAACAAAAAATTGGTCCACTGATCCACACAAATTCAACTAGCTATATTAACTAGACTAGGCCCTACATACAGCTTCTCCTCAGTAACCTGTGAACCCTACAAATACAGAGGATGTTTGGGCAGCCAGAAAAACTTGGAAAATGAGTGTCTGCAGAGGATGTTGCACTGAGGGTGAGGTGTGAAATATTTTGTTTAGTTTTGCTGCATTTTAACCATTTTTTGTCAGATGTGAGCTGTGAAAGAATCCTGCACAGACTGGGCACCCATCTGGGCCTTTGACCACACTGTCGGTCTGTGTGTGCCAGGTCAGTGCCAACCAGCTCTACAGCAAAGCTGAGTGTGATGAGTAGTGCAGGGTGGTGAACACATCAAATTTCCACCCATGTGATATCAACCATTCTAATTTTAAAATCCTCCCTACACATTAATGCATCAGTAATAATAATCCAACATATTAATATATAATAATATAACAACCAGGGAGCATTTTGCTTAGTAATGAGTGTGAGTGAGTGATACTTAGCATCCTGCTGATAAAGCTTCTGTATTGAAAGTACAATTTTGAATGCAGGACTTTTACTTGTGAAAACAAAAAATAATTTTTATATTGAGGTATTTCTGCTTATGACAGTATAGTGATTGCGGTAAAGTACTTTGGAAATATTATTTGAAAGTGAAGATTGGTAGATGTTTTGCAAAGCTTTCAAAAATAAAAAGATTTGTAGGTGGATCAGAGTTCTGTACTCAACACCCATGGCTGCGGTCAGAATAAATGGCCTGATTTCCGAATATTTTCCACTTTATAGAGGTGCGAGGCAGAGTTGCGGTCTGTCGCCTTTCCTATTCGACATTGCGATTGAACTGTTGGCAATTGCTATCAGAACAGATGGCAGGATTAAGAATATTTCCAGGGGCGAAACAAAACATAAAACTCTGCTTTATGCGGATGACTTGCTTTTGCTAATATCAGATCCAATAGAGAGCATACCTCACCTTCTCCATTTGCTGCAAAAATTCGGTAGCATATCAGGATATAAAATTAATTTATCAAAATCCTTTGTATTTCCATTAAATAATCTAGCAAAACAGGTCAATTACGAACATCTGCCCTTT